TCTTTCTTTTTGAAATGACTGCTGGATCTTTAACTTTTTTTTTTTTTTTTTTCTGGCCTTTTTGAGACAGGGTCTCCCTGTAGCCCCAGCTGTCCTGGAACTCACTATGTAGACCAGGCTGGCCTTGAACTCACAGAGATCCGCCTGCCTCTGCCTCCCAAGTGCTAGGACTAAAGGCGTGTGCCATCATGCCCGGCTAGGATCTTTACCTTTCAGGCTAGAAAGGAAGAAAAGACCAAAGGGCTGATTTTCAAAAATGTTACCTGAATTCCACCTTGAAACCTCACTGGTCATAACTACATCTATCTTGAAGTGGGGATGGTAGAGACACAGTTTGGTAGGTAAAATGCATTGGCAAGAATATAGGGATTTTATTTTGAAGGAAGAATGGGAGGATGGATATCTGGGGAGACCACAGTGCCAGCGGGTCACTTCAAATGAAGAAAGACAAATATGTACCTTTCAGGGTGATGCTTCAACATGGCACTTTGATTTTGTCTGTTTAGTCAAAAGCTTGTATATATACAATATATATTGCAGGGCTTGAGACCTGGCTGAGTGAGTAAAGACACTTGCTACCAAGCCTGACAACCTGAGCTTGATCCCCAGGACCCAAAGGGTAGAAGGAGAGAACTGACTCCCATAGCTGACTTCCACATGAATATCACAGCATGCACACACACACACACACACACACACACACACACACACACACAATGCTCTCACATACATACACATAGAATAAATGTATATTTATAAATAAGTGTGTTTTTAAAAAGCTTTTAAAAGCTACAAATATTTCAGTGTCTGCTTTCAAGTTGAATTTCAACTTATAATCACTCTAAATAATCACCAGTTGTCCACCCTGTTTGAGCGTTCAATAACTTTCATATGCTTCTGTCTGATGTTTTCCCAACCACACAACATATATTTCCGCATGAAGTCAGTCGGTTGACACATAGTAATTTAGCCTCTATGTTTGGCTCCATTTGAAAGCTGCTAGAGAAGATGGAAGGACACTGCTCTTGGGGACCATCATACTGAGAAAACACAGTCAAATAATATTCAGGTACACATCAGAAGATGTAAACGTTTATAAACTTTTTGAACTGTCAATTCTGAGGGAAAGACTAAGAAAATATAAAGGATGAATGGAAAAATTGATTATATGCATAGTCACTAAAGCAAACTGAACACAACAATAAAAGTCCCCTGCAATTTCAATCGAGGATTTTTTCTAGAAGCTATGGCTCTCCATGCAAAAGAGCATTAAAAAGTCATCTAAGTCACTAAGAGAGATTATTCCTGACTTAAAACACATCACATGGAATTTTGTTATTAAGTGTAAAACACAGAGCTCAATTTTTAAAAATGTGCATTTTGCATTTTCAGTGTTGTTCATAATCCAGCTCCCCCTTCTCTGAGAAGGACTCCCGCTTACAAAGACTGCAGCTCTCCTATTTCTATGGAATTGACTAAGAATCCTAGTGAAGGAAGAAAAGGGGAAAGGAAGGAGTGTTGACCAAAGAGGGGGAAGGGCTCACTGGAATGCACAGGGACTCTTTTTCTTCTTTCATAACCAAAAGTTTTACAGGATGGGTGTTGGGGGCGATCAGATTAGAAATTCCTTCTCATTAATCAACAGGTTTTATAGAGTGAGGAGGGGATGATTAGAACTTTAGAATTTCTTGTAAAATGTTTTATAATGTTTGAAAGAAAAGACTAGTATTTGATGATTCTTACTTAGGTAAGAAGAGAGCTTGGATCCCCTGGAGCTGGAGTTACCTTTGGGTCCTCTACAAGGCAGTAAATGCTCTTAATCACTGAGCCATCTCTCCAGCTCCAATTTCTGGGTTTGTAAGAGGAATTTTCTGGAACTCAAGTTTAATTCTGTTGTCAAGTGGTACATAAAGAAAATTATTTGAGAGGATTTTTAAGGTAAAAATCTTTGTATTAGGGCATATCACCCCATTTTTAGCAACATCCATTTTCAAAGCTGTTTCATGTCCATTTTTAAAAAGTTCTTTTTAATTAAAAAATATTTTTATTATATGTGTATGAGTGTACTGCCTGCAGGTGTGTAAGTGCACCTGTGTAGTGCAATGCCTGAGGAGTCAGAAGAATGCATCAGATCCCCTGGTACTGGAGTTACAAATGGTTTTTAACTGTTATGTGGGTCCTGGGAACCAAATCCAGGTCCTCTACAAGAGCAGCTAGTGCTCTTAACTACTGAGCCATCTCTCTGGCCTCTTAAAATTTTATTTTTATTTTATGTTCATGAGTATTTTGCTTGCATGTATGTAAGTGCACTATCATGTAATGCCTACAGAGACCAGAAGAGGGCACTGGATTCCCTGGAACTGCAGTTATGGAGGGTTGTTTGCCACCGTGTTGGTGCTGGGAACCGAACATGGGTCCTCTGCAAGAGCAGCCAGTGCTTTTAACTGCTGAGCCATTTCTCCAGCCCTTCATGGCCGTTTCTAGCTGTGAAGACAAATCATTTAGAATAATTTGTTATATTCAGTGTCTCACACTTAGTAGGATAGAAAATTTTGTGTTAATATAAGGTATCTTCAAATGCTTCTTGATATATTACATGTCCAAGTTGAAAAATTTTTTTGGCTTTACTAACATTTTGAGGCTTTGATATATTTTAAAAGTTTGACATACATGTTTTTATCATGGGGTCTGCTTTTTTCATGGCAGGTGCTTAGGATTGAGCCCAGAGCCTTGTACATGCCTAGCTGCCATTAAGCCATGCCCCCAGTCCCTAGGGACTACATTTTGAACAGTTGAAATAACATAATATTCTGAGATGGGTGTTAGTGTCTTCAGAGTTGGTGTGCATTATTAGGCTGTTGAGTATATCTGGGGCTGAACAGAGACATCAGAAATAGGAACCACACTTCTCATACAGTGTCCCAGTTGCATAAAAATGGAGCCAGCCAGCAAAGCTCCAAGTGGTGACCTCAGTTGTGCTCCTGGAATCACACTCTGGCCAGTCCCTACATTCTTGGCATGTTTTTCATTCTCTTGTGGCTGGGAGCAAGTGGAGTTGCCAGGTTACCGTTGATCAAGGGTAATTTTTAGAAGCATTAAGTCAGTGTCCTGCTCCCTGGATGATTCATCAGCATCCGGGGCCATGTTGTGAATGTTAAATAGTAACCATTGGTTGGTGTTTAATCTGTTGGCTCTCACCCAGCCCTAACTTGAGTGTTCATGATGGCTGTCACTTTTTCTTTTCACCACCTTTCAACTATCAAATTGATGGGTTATTGCTCCCTTTCAGGGGATTCAGAAATGATAAAAAGTAGCCGTATGACGAATAGCAAGTGAGAAAGCAGAGTCTATTAGTAAAGGAACACATGGGACAGATTCCCTTCCAGGCAGGGAAAATGTCTGCCCAGGTCTTGAGCTGGGGTCTTTTAAGGGGGAGGCTTCTGCTTCCTGCAGAAGGTGGGAAGATGTATTTTTTAAAGTTGGGTGGGGGGAAGTGGGAGAGCGGGCCTGTTAAAACCTGTCCTCTTTAGAGATCAAAGGGTAAGCCTGCTGTGTTGGCCAAACAGTGGAGAAAAGTGTGCTTCTCCAGACTTCAAAGACCAAGGTGCTTATCAGCTAGGTTCCCTTTTCTCCGGAGCATGAGAAGTCCTTGGGATCCTGTTGGTGAGGGGGCAGGGCTATCTGAACCTTAACAAGAAGAATGCAGTACAGTTTTAGTTGTTTTTTGGTGTTAAATTGTAAAAACGAACATCCATTACATCCATTACGTTAAGGGAAATGAAAGCTGACCTTTCAGCTTTCCAGACTGAAATCCAACTAAATTTGCCCCAAATCTTGAAAGTTCTGTGAGGAGAAAGACTCAGAAATGTGGGGGCTCTTTTCCTTTTTTTTTTTTTTTTTTTTTGCTTGGCAGCTTTCAGAGCCATCTTGAAGGATCTATTGGATTATGTGCTCATGTAAGCCTTTCCATTTGCTAAGTGGAGGTAATATTTAACTCATAGAACTGAGTAGAATGAAGTGAGGCATCAGTGAATACCTGTCAGTACATGCACGCTGTAGCTGGCTGGCTGTAGCAGGTCTCCAGGAAAGGAAGGCCGAATGTTTTTTTTCAAGGATACTCTCCCTCCAGTCACAGTTCAAAAGATACAAATCATTACTTGTATCTTTGTGACATATTTTTACTTGTTCACAAACTATTTCTCTCCACGAAGTGAAACGACTTACATACAGGTTTCTTATGTATCTTGCCAGGTAGATTTTGTATATCCAAAAACAAAAATATAGTTTTCCCACATTCAAAAATCCCAAAACCGGCCGGGAGGCAGAGGCAGGCTGATCTCTGTGAGTTCAAGGCCAGCCTGGTCTACATAGTGATTTCCAGGACAGCTGGGGCTACAGGGAGACCCTGTCTCAAAAAGACACACACACACACACAAATCCCCAAACCTAGAGTCTCACTATTGCCTACTTTGCTTTTTTAAAGACAAACTGGATCTTGGAAATTGGTCATTTAGGCACACGGTTTCCTTTTATGTTTTTATGTTATTGTGGCTAAATTAGCTTAGGCACAGCTTTGTGTAAGTTTTAGTTATGGTGTGTTTTGTAGTTTCAGTTTAGTTTCCAGTTCTGTCTCTTAACCAGTGGTTATTCATTCATTGACTCAAAAATGTTTACCGAACCACTATCAGGAGTCAGCTCAGCCCCTGGGAAGACAGCAAACAAATGAGGCGTCAAGAGATCCTAAAGGGCTCATCCACAGCGAGGGACTAGGACTCCATCAGGAACCTGTGCGGCAGAGCTCAGCAGAGGCCTTGGCCCTTTAACTCCGGCGCGCGGGAACTCCGGCCCAACAGCCACAGGCGGGTGGGGCAGAGGGGGCGGGGCTGAAGGGCGCGCGCCCCGCCCACCAGTGACCGCCACACCCTCCCCGCAGCCTGTCCAATCAGCAGCCTGCTGATCCCCCGCCCCGACTCTCTGGAGGGGGCGGGGCTCCCAGCGGGCGCGTCTGGACGACCCGCGCTCCCACAGAGTTTCGAACTCAGTTGGTCCTCAAGACCGAAAAAAATATGAGAGCGAGGACCAATGGCGTGGCAATAAGGACCCGCGCGCGGTTCTGGCTCCGCCCCCTTCGGAGCGAAGGCAGTCCGGGCCCAGCTATTGGCCCGCGCTACCTGTCACTCGCCACCGTGGCCAGCCGCAGGGGCCTGGCGGTGTCTGGTTCCGCCCAGGCGCGAAATGTAACGCGGGAAAAGCCGGAGCTGGGACCGCCGCTGCAGGTTGTTATTTTCGGGGGCTCGGCGCCGCGCGTTCCGCTTTCCTGTCACCGCCCGGGCCGCGCAGCCCGCCGCTGCAGCCTGCCTCGCGGAGGAGTAGGAGCGGAGCCTGACCAGCCACCGCTGCCTGCCCGCCCCGAGCCGGCCGCTTCCACTGCGGGGTCGGCCTGCCATGAGCGGGCGGCTGTGAGGGCCAGTCGGAGCAGCGCAGGCGGACTTGGGGAAGCTGCGGATCCCGCTGGCATGATCCGGGGCGTGGAGGCGCCCATGGCGGACCGCACGGCGCCGCCGCCGGTCATCTACTGCCACGACTCCCCGAAGCGGGTGCTGGTGTCGGTCATCAGGACGACCCCGGCGACGCCTCCGTGCGGCCGAGGGGAGCCCGAGCCGCCGCCGCCGCTCGTCCCTACCAGCCCCGGCTTCAGCGACTTCATGGTGTACCCGTGGCGCTGGGGCGAGAACGCGCACAACGTGACGCTCAGCCCCGGGGCGGCGGGTGGCGTCGCCTCCGCCGGGCTGCCGGTGGCCGCCGACCACCCGGGACTCCGGGGCCGGGGCGCGCCGCCATCCGCCGTCCCGGGGACCGCCGCGTCGGGCGGAGAGGACGAGGAGGAGGCGAGCAGTCCCGACAGC